ATTTGAGATATACTAAATTTTGTTCACAATTCTTTTTAAGTTGATTCAAGTTGACAAGCGACGCCGTAACTTTTAGCTATGATCTCATTGGCCATCACGCTGGATTAACTGACCGTTGCATAAAACTTGTCATACCTTGTTTATCTATTTTTAGAAGTCTTAGTCATCTCCAGGTGTATGTTATTCATTGCACGTCGAAAGCCAAGTTGGTGACTTGGTGCACTTAAAGAACGTAAACAAAGTGACTGTGTGATGTGAGAGTGTACCTAATAAAACCGCTAAAGAAAGTTCTACCCAGAAAAGAACAACTTTGATTTCTAAGTCAACTACTTGACATTTTGATTGAAGGCGAGAGGCTTTATGACTAAAGTAGGCAAAAATATAAAAAATAAAAATGCTTGTTTTCAACATTCGTCGATTGCATGATGATATCAAGCAAAGATTCGAAAATAAAAAACTGATTTTCCACTTCTTACAAATATCCTGTACATCTGTTGTTACATTTCAGATGAGATTTCTCTTCCTCATACATGATTTAAATATTGTTTGCATTTACACCACTTGGGCATCGCAGATTTACAAGTACAAAAGACATTTCATGGGTTTTAGAAAGCTATTTCAATGCCATATCCATTGAGGATATAGATGATTATGGCTCTTCCTTTTCTTTATTACTTCCGAATTGCTATAACTTTCGGGATAGAGTATAAATAGAGAACTCGTCACTATTTAGATTCGGTTTATTGTCCGACTGAAAATAATAGAAACTGAAGTTTTCTCTGTTACTTTCCTCTAGAAGGGAAATATATTTTATATACATTATATATTAACAGATGCAAAATGATTAATTATGTATGTTATTCATGAACAGCACTAATGCACGCCTCCTCCCCGATACTGCAAACACTATTGACTTCCTCTGAAGTTTTGCTCCTAAAAAACCTTCCATTAGATAATAACACTGGAATCAAGCATCGATTATGACTACCTCAACAGATGCAATTTCTGCTTTATTATAGAATTGTCTAAAAGATTTTCAGTTTAAAGTTGCTATCTAATTCCAAAGCCAAATTACGGGTTCTAGAACACATTATACACTAACTGTGTATTTTTCCTTCTTATAGGTAATTTCGTTATCTTTTACGCGGAGTAAATTGCAGTTCTTTAACTGCAATTACAGTTGCTTCTTTGCAAATGAAGTTGATGTTACAGTTTATGAATATTCTTTTTAACTATAAAATACTTCTATATTTTCGGAGAAAAATCACCAGAAATCGATCAACTGTTTTTGATCTCTACTTCAATTGTAACTGTCGTCTTTTACAGTTTGTTTATATTTAAAATAGAAAATAACTGATTATATTGATCCAGCGATTTTATTTTCAGTCCAATACAAAATTTAATGTCTATTTCAAACTCTGAAGCAAAAATGTATATTTATTTTAAATCAACATCAATTAAATACAATTAATAATCTGGCCAATGCCAGGTAGTTCAGCTAGTATACACTGTACACGTAAATAGTTATATAAAGTATTTTATTGCATATCTATTTCTGCTTATAATAAGACCAAGAATTGTGGTTTATATCGACTGAGGATTATATATAAAAAAAAGAATAAAGATGTGGACGAGATTACATATGAATCAGCAGAAAATATAGCATTATTCAGGCGCACACACACACATTTTTTCAAAGGTTACGTAGCACAAGTTTGGACGAAAATAAATAAAAAGTGGAATTAAATTGCTGCAGAATTTTATCTTCTTTTTTCAAATTTTGCAGTCATTTCAATCTTGAAACATTTCACTGCAATTCTTTCCGGCTTTGAATCATTTATTGCTTGAAAAAAAAATTAAAATTTAACAAAAGAATTTGAACGAAAGTTCCTCATTCACCTCGTCTCTCAAGTATTCATTGACGTTCAAACTCAATTTATTTTTCGATTTAGCATTCGACATGATTCTAGTTTTTATTTTTATCGATACAGAAAACCTATTCCCTGCCGTTGAATACAATCTGCAATGTATCCGAATTAAATTTTATGCAATTTCATATTATATAATTTTTTTTCGTTTTACTTTCTTTTAATGATGTTATTCTTTGTTTGAAACTATTCTATGAAATATAAAATTATAGAATGTTTAAGTATATTTTGTTGATAATGATTTGCTGTGATGTATTGAACGATTTAAGATTTTTTTAATTATTTAGAAGATTTTTTTTATTTGCATATAAATGACTATATATTTATAATAGGATTATATAAACGTATATAAAATATAAATGCAATCATAATATATCACAAACATGTAAGATATAGTTAATATATATCGTATACAAATAGTATATATCTTACATTTATTTACTAAGAAAAGATGAAGAGAACACTGGAGGCAACAGTTCTACTGAAGGATGCTGGGAATACCATGGAAAGAACATGTAAGCACCAAGAAAGTTTTAAAGAAAATCGGAAAGAAAAGTGCACTTGCGCTTAGGATTAGAAAAATTGTTGAAATTTCTGGGACATATAACGAAGAAAGAGGACTTGGAGAATTTGACACTCACATATTTCGAAGGTAATAGGGGTAAAGGGAAACATCTAATGGCCTACGTAATGATTTTATGTAAATGGATGACAGAACATGGGTTAGAAATGATGGCACAGGGACAAACATTGCTTAGAACTATAAAGGACAAAAAGTTGTGGAGAGCCACTTATGGAACAGATGGGCCACACGCAAAAGTAGGAAGTTAAGAAAAATGAAACATTTCAACTACACGGAGCATTTTGTTCGTTTGTTGCTTCTAACAAATTCCTGTCTTTGAACTAACATATATAAGAGAGTGAATAAGCATACAAGATGAAATAAGAATATACAGGAAACGAAATGCTATAAAAATATTTGCATAGGTTGAAAGTTTATCTAATATGGTATAGTATTTTCCCCTTTAAATGCTAAATTGCTTTAGGATTTCGGTAATCAGGAATTTCCACAGTATCTTTTGCCTCAATGTCTGAAAAAATGCATTATTATTAGGTAAGATAGTGAAATGTTTTTCCAGTTTCTTTTTCCACGTACTTGAATTGAGAGTTGCCCTCTTCTCGCCGGTTACCAATAAAAAACAGATAAGCAAGTTCTTACAAACATTTAATCCATAACTGTAGAAGGAGAGTTCATGCCTTTCCCAAAGACATCAATGTGAACTGAACACAAATCGTCTTAACTGCAATTTGAACTTGGCTCCTCAGTTCAAAAATTCAAAGCAACAGCCCGAGCTTCACCATTCTTAGCTTGATAGAGTCTTTTAGCAATAATCGTTAATACATCAGCAGTTGACCTAGAGAAACGAAAGCTTTATTACTTGTCTGAAAGAATGCCCTGCGAAGTGAGATGCTTAACACTATTAATTAGGGTCTCTAGTAGTTTACCAAAAAGTGGTAAAAGGTTAATAGACCAATAGTGGGAAGGATCGGATGATTCACTTGAGTCCTTATGACTGGAACTACTGTGAGGATTTCCAACAAGAAGGAAAGCAAAATGTAGCGAAGCATTTATTATACAGTTTCTATTGATATTTATTAACAACTTTCTATTTCTATGCGCCATTTCCATTTTTCATTTCCCTTAATCAGCCCAGATAGTTGAATTTCTGCAATTGTCAAATTCTGACGTCTCCGGTGTGTAACTCACATCATGGCCTGTATTTATGACCCCTCACTGTGTAGTCAGTCTTCTTATAATTAATGGCCAGTCTTTTCTTAGACTCACTCGTCTGTTTTTCTTCTGTGTAGCGTATGTTATTAGGGTTAACAGTTTCTTGCTGCTAACCACTGCCCTGTGGAACCGACTTCTCTAATCACTACAATCTTAACCTGCTCAGTTCTAGGGCTAATCGTTATCTCCCCACTCTTATCTGTATATATTACTTCTTAACATACCATCTACCACAAGTAGCGTACGCGTCTTGTACGGGGTGAACCTTACTGTAAAAAAATGTTAAATATATGCAGTGAGAAAACACATACTTGTCGTACTTCTCTTTCTACAATGGTGGACACAATTCGTTATCTATTCGCTGGTAAGCCGTTTTTCCATAACAGAGATTGTGGATTATTCATATATTCTTTGAGTATAAATAGAATTTTCTCGTCAAGAATTTCACTTCCCATCAACATTTCAATAGGTTCTTCATAACCTATAATCACTTTCGATAATTAATGAAAACAGATTTTTTGATACATTTTTATTGCTCGTTCTGATATCACAGTCATAATTAATTTAATATTTCTTGTCTGATTGTCTTTTATAAAACTACATTTTTCTTCTATTTTCGTTCCGATTCAACTTTGAGCTCTATTCATTACTATCTTAATTATTATGTGGACATTCAAATGTTGCCTGGGGAAATTGGTTGAATTCGTTCTCACTTGGTTTCTTTGGCAATTAATCCAATTAAATTTTCTGATATTTCAATATCCTTTCATATTTCATTGAATGATTTCCTATCCTAATCGATCCGAAAGTTATCGTAGTCCTGGGTATGACAATAAATTACATCCGGCAGCAAGGCCTCTCTTCGACAGATTGGAGATTTTGAGGAGTGTGAAACCACCTCTTAATTGCTGTTGTTCCCAGGTTCACCTTGACCCGCGGTTGTAGCTTCTGTTAGGGTCACACCAATTGGCAAATAGGGGACCCCCAAACAGAAAAACAATATGAAAGTATAAAAAGTATAAAAACTCCGACTTGCCCCAAAGCTTCGTATTTGTTTTTTAAATGTGATTGCAATTTTTTTTGTCTTTTTTTTTTTTTTTTTGTTTTGCAAATGAATTTGATGTTTCAGTTTATGAATAGCATTATGTTTCGTAATTTCCGTACTTTTATCCTTATTTTACAGATAATAGGGAGGTGATCATTTGGGGATTTTTAGAGTAGCAAACTGCATTTTTAAGTTATTTAAATTTTTAAGGCTTTTGAAGTTCGAAATGTTGGCTTACGCACATATCACGTTGAAACACCGGTTCTCGAAAGATGATCGAAGTTAAGCAACGTCGAGCATGGTCAGCACTTATATGGGTGACCGCTTGGAATACCAGGTGCTGTAAGCTTGGATATGTGTAGAGTGTAATGGATAATGGCTGGGAATTGGAAATTCCAATTCGAATCGTGTTCGTTTGCCTGCAAATACCCATCGGAAATATATGAATCCTACTCTTTTGCGCTCCAAACTATGGGTTAATTTGTAGGACTTGTATCAGAAAATCCTTATTATCCCCCCCAAAATATTCTTACAATCGAAAAAATATTTTCTGGCTTTAGATAACCTGCAAAAGGTTGATAAACCGTAAAACACAAATCAATCAAGATTGATCATTTGCTGTATTTTGTTCTGCACGTTGCGTGATCCAACTTTTACTGACTTTTTCCTTACACCGTACCTGTCTTACTTTTTCTTTTAAATCTCCCATAAGGATAATGATTTCTGGAGATTAGCTCTGAGGTAGAAGCTACCTTTTTTTTTCTTCGGTGTTTTATGACGTGGATGCGCTATCTATATGAAATCTGTTAACGTTCACTTACACCAGAAGAACTCTGCCTGATAGTTATCACTACTACCAAACGTATTTTCTTCTGTCTTTGACTAATATTAATCTGGCACCTCTTTCTTTCTTCTGAATAAATGATTCGGTAATCATCACTTACATATATTTTGCATACTTCGAAAAGGTTTATCTTCAGCTTTTCCATTCCTCGTTTGACAACATTTCTGAATTGATATAGTTTCCTCCCATTCCACGTACATATTGTGATTCTCTCTCAGCTATGGATAGTCACTGTGTAACGGGCGAAAACTCTAGCGTGTCTACCCCTACCAGGTTGATGAGATCTGAACTTCTTTACAACGTCATCTGATATTTATGAGCTGTAAATTGTTATGATTGTTCTTGGGAGAAATAGTGGAGTGGTTTCCCGTTGTATTCTTTTTATTGATACATCATCCTCAGTTAGGGCGAATGAACTCAACAGTCAATCATCTTTCTTTTCTGCCTACTTCGTTATTCATTAACATTGAAAGAACCGGTTTTGCCACCGATCACCAAGTCAAAATATAGCATATGCTACAGGGTTAGAAAATCTTAAAAATTCGATCGCTTGCCTAAACCACATACATTCTACACTGTATATTTGATATGTACAAATAAACTACAAATTCAGGTATTCTTCTAAAAAAAAGAAAATTGCTATTATATCCACTTTAAGATTAGGACTTATTTACATTTTTTAATCGATTAACCCATGCCACTAAAGGGGCTAAATGGAATTAAAAAGACTTTAGAAGGAACTGGAAACCCAATCCTAAACAAGAAATAAGAGATAAACCTCCAAATAATTCCAAAGACCAGGGAGAATTTTGAACACGATGATAGGCATTTGAGGAAAATAACAATAAATAAATATCAAATAAAATTTCAAGCGAATACGTTAGAAGCAACTGGAAAACCAATCATAAACAGGAAACTCTACTTCTGTTCAAAAAACTAAGGAAGAATTTGAACCGGACAATAAGTTAATCTATCTACTCAATTCTTTTATATTTTTATCTAAAGACATTTTTTCACCTGAAAACCATTTTTCTATTCTCACCATGCTATTTTCTGTATTTCGTCTTTACTGTAGAAACAATGTTTTCATTAGTTGTGACAAATATATTCCTTCAATGTTTTTCAAGAATGAATTTTATAATTGTCACTAAATTATTTAGAGTTTTTTTTCAAACAGCGAATAGTAATAATAAATCCTGACCTTTTTTGACAGCCTAGTCCTATTTACAGAGAAAAAGAAGAATAATATCTTTGATATTCTACATACATAAAATTTAAATTTACTACCATAACCATGTGGAAATATGCACTTTATAAGTAAGTTGGTAAATGCTAAATTCTTAGAAGTAATTAGAGTGACAAGAGATTCATTTTATGGTATTATATAATGTGCTACATACTTTGTAGGTTGGCAACGATGAACAAATATATTAATATGTAGATTACATATTTCAACATTATATTTTGGAAGTACTTTTTAGTTAGCCCACTCTCAATATACGGCTCTGTCCAAATCTTAAAGAATTGTGAGCCGATAATTGATTCGAACAAATTGACGAAGAATCACTGTTGCAATTTTTCAATTAAGAAAATTAATTAAGGAAATTATTTTCCTTGACAAAAATGTTGTCATGAAATGAAAGTGCCACATATCTTCTGTTTTTCCTTGTTGAACGAAAAAAGAAATATGAGTGTATCAAATAAATAATTACATTCACTCAAATATTAAAGACTATATGTAAAATCGAGAGTAATCACTTGGAGAAAATTAAACAACAGCACTTAAATATGTGTTTTTAATCCTAATACATTCCTTATATATATATATATATATATATATATATACACACACACACACACAATAATAATACATTCTTTATACACACACACACACACACACATATATATATGTATATATATATATGTGTGTGTGTGTGAGTGAGAGAGAGAGAGAGAGAGAGTGGAAGAGTATAATAAATGAATGGTATAAAATATCTGAACAAATTATGGAATACGGGAAAATTTGTTGAACGTTGATTTATCTTTATTTCCTTGTAGTGTTTTGCCTTATACGATTATTATCAAAGCAACAGAAAAAATCCAAAGAAAAGATTGTTACCGTGGCAACAATGCTTAAATAAGCTATGGCCGATTTAAAATGTTTATCAGTTAATCAAATCTTAAAATATCTTTGAAAAAAATCAATGAGAATTGTACATAAGAAGTATGCTGAAATAATATGTAAATTAGCGATAGAAGCATAAAATAAATGAAAGAAAATTTTGCTTCAAAAATAAAGTGCATATATATCCCAAGAAAATGGTGAATATTTATAATTAAAAGTATAATTTATATACCGTATTATCTTGTGTATGTGTATGTATAAGACGCAAGGTTTTTTTGTTTTTTTTTATCCAGAATCTGTCCCGAAATCTGCTTCGCCTTTTACCTTACTTTAGAACTCAATACCCTTTTCCAGGACTCAAAACGGATAAAATCGAGTCAAATTGGATCTATTTGTTTATCGGGGAGATAATATCAATCTAATAGCGTATTGCAACAAAGGAAAATACATCTTTTATAATTAAAACCAAAACAAACAAGTTAATATTCAATTTTATTTCAATCTATTTTTTCAATATATATTGGCGATTTACTGGTCTTATACCCTAACAGTCATGCAAGATGTTTAGTTTAACGAGTGTCTATTTTAATATGATTTTTTTAAGTATTATCTTAGCGAGATATGTTATTAAAGCCAACATTTTGATTAATCGAATTGAATCGTGATATTATAGCTGATTCAGCTTTCAACACTGACGAATAAATTTAGCCAAAACACGAACACACACATATAATTATATATATATATATATATATATATATATATATATATATATATATATATATATATATATATATATATATACACACTAAAATAAGACCGACAATTATTTAATATATATCTATTAAAATAGCGTATAAACAGATTATATATATATATATATATATATATATATATATATATATATATATATATATATATATATATATATAGAGAGAGAGAGAGAGAGAGAGAGAGAGATTAAAAAGATTATATGAGCACAAAAGGAATATTTTACAAAACAACAAACTCAGTGCCTTAGTTGATCATCGTAATGAGGGACCATAATTTTGATTTAATAAATGCTAAATTATAAATCCTCATTAAAAAAAAAGGAATTTAGTAAGATGAAAATGCTTTAATCGATAGACTAAAGGTATCTTAATTCCAGTTGTAAAGAAAAAACTAAATATGTATAGTTTATATATATATAATATAGGAGGCACGGTGGAGCAGTGGATAACGGCTTGGATTGAGGAATCGCAGAGCCGAGTTCGAATTTCAGTCGAATCCACTACATTCACTTACGTTGGAAAAGGTGTGTATCCTCTTCATCTCCCTCCGTATGGGTAAAATAGCAGGACAGACTGGGTTCTATAGCCTTGGGTGGCAACTGGTCTAGGAGAAGGACAACTCTGAATTCAAAACCTGCGGAGGGTCGTTTGGGAACCTTGTGGCATGCATTCGGTGCACCAGGTTTCTGTATTCGTCCCTCCAAAAAGTGTGGCTGGTCCTGCACGAGGCCTTCACCACTATAATCAAATCTCATGTGCCGATGTCGGTTTCCTGGGGATTTACCGGCCTGACCCTCTTACGTCGAACGCGACGGGAGAGTCGATTATATATATATATATATATATATATATGCATCATGTACACCTTGTAATTCATTATATAACCCCCTATTTTTGTTTTGTGCTAATATTTATATTGAAATAAATTAGATTTGTGACCCTATCCGACTTCCAGAAAGGAAAACTTGTTCGAATGTAGATGCCTGAAAATTCACTTTTCAACTGCTGAATTCTCCAATGTTTCAAGAGTAAAAGTCTGTAAAATCATGTTGGCATTCGAAAAGCAATGAAAAACCCTAATGTGAGGCAGATTTCTACACAGTAGAATCGTAGAATATTGTTTTAAAAATATTGAACCCCATCAAATCTAAATTACCACTTTGCCAAGCAGGTGTCCACCAAGGCTTGGTTCTACTTTGTTTTTAATTTTCTATTAACGACCTTCCTAATGGCATCAGCTCTCTACTTGCTTATGACACAACCATTTACTCTTGTCTGCTCCATCTGATAAGGTCAAATTGGCGGCTGCTGTCAAAAAACGACCTTCAGTCTGTTCTTAACTGGGGCTTGTTAATTTCAACGCCTCAGACTGCTTTCTATTAATCATCTGAGAGAGCCCCTTTCTGCCTGATACTAAAAACCAGGAGAGTGACTTTCTAAGATTAATATTCTCGACTGATATGAAGTGGAAAATACTATATTGAATCAATTCTTAGCTTACCTGGTAAGAAAGTTAGTTCACTGTGTCGTATTAGACAATTTTTTTTCCAGAAACTATATTACATATCTAGAAGTCCACCATTCGTCCATACCTTGAATATTGCT